CGGCGCAAAGATGAAAGCGATGGCTTGCGGCTGCTCGAATTTTACAGCAAACGCATGCCCAATGTAAAGGTAGCCACTTCCACCTACATGCGCGAGCTCTATGCTTTGCGTATGGCTTTGGACCATTGGAAGCACTATCTTTTGGGACGCCACTTCAAAGTGTTCTCAGAGCATGAGACCCTGAAGTGGATCAAGGAGCAAACTACCCTATCCCCTACGTTAATTCGCTGGTTCCATTAAATTGACATCTTTGACTTTGAGTTGAGACACAAAAAGGTTTGTTATAATCGAGTCGTTGACGCATTGTCTCGCCACCCTGAGTACATGACTTGCCTTGAGGCTCATGGTTGGGCACACACAAGCAGTCGTGGTTCCCGTAGCGACGGAAAATCAGTCCTCCATATTCGTGAAAATCAGGCTGACTACTAGGATCAGCCCGTAGCCGCTCAAGGATGGGACTAAGTTTCGGATCCTTGGCTGTCTGCTCTACGATTTTCTGGATTTGGCTTATGGCCGGAGCGGACACTTCGGCATGGCAAAGACGTACACAAATCTGCTGCGACAGTTTGATTGGCCTGGCATGAAAGGGACTGCTGAAAAGTTTGTGGCTGAGTGTCAAGTCTGTCAACGAATCAAACCATGCAGACAAAAGCCCATGGGGCTACTCACACCCCCCGCGTTCCATGCATCGAAACTGTACCTCCACCGAGATGCTAAGACGTTCGACCATCGCGAAGACATGATCCCTTGTGCAATCAAAGGCGGGCATGAGATAGACACTATCAAACAGCACGTAGGGAAGGGATGCAACAGACAGTACCAGGTTCACGTCATGTATCACGCGTTAGACGATGTGTACTAGATTTCCAAACAGGAACTGCTCCGCAGTGCACCGCGCGTTGTCAAAGCCTACGAGCGACAAATCGCCACTGACGCTGTACCTAAAATCTCTGCAAGACTCACTGCAACAGAGAACTCTAGGAACCTCTTTTTCTTGCTTGCTTACGATGCGTTTGTCGAGGACTCAGAATGAGTTACTCGTTCAAAGGGACCTCGCTCTTGAGGGGGGAGGGAGTAGTGTGATGACCCGTCCAAACATGGACTGAAACACACAGCTGATTTCTGAGTTTTGCCCATAGACTGAATGCCCTGCTGGGTTTCCCGCTTGCTACTAGGTCTGTGTGTGCATGCTTACTGGACTGCGTGCCTGTCTGAGTGCTGATTGGCTTGAGTGTGTGTGTGGCCGTGCCTTTCTGAGTGCTGATTGGCTTGAGTGTGTGTGTGGCCATGCCTGTCTGAGTGCTGGTTGGCTTGAATGTGTGTGTGGCCTGCAAGGGCACTTGCTCGTTCATTGGGCCCTCAGGGCCGGTACTTACCTTTGGCCGTGACATTGAGGGAATGCAGCAGGAAAAACACTCAAGTAGCTGGTAGGCCAGTACCGCACCCTGAAGGGGTAGATGTGCGGGTACTGGAGGCCGAGCAGAAGAAGACAAAAGTGGCATTTTTAGAGGCCCAGTAGTTGTAGGTTAGGTGTAAGCGGATACCAGTCCAACCAGTCTGGGTCTAGGGCCTGTACGGGCAATATCAGAGTCTGCAATGATGTTTCCCTCTTAAAGGGAGGAGGTACCGGTTTCTTGGAAGGCCGAGCGGCCTGGAAGTCACCACCCGAAGAGGCAAGCAGGCTGCTATATCTCCCAGACGGGCGAAGAGCCCGACCTCTTTTTCGGTGTGCAAGTTTGGCGACACACTGGTGGAGCAGCGCTATGCTGGAGCAGCGCTGCTGGGGAGGAAGGAGAAGGACACGAGGGAGGAAGAAGGAAGGAAGGGGGAGGAGCGCCAGGGGTACTTACCTGGCTATGGTGGCAKCCATCTTCATCACCTTGGTGGGCGCTGCAGCAGGGAGTCCCCAACTGGGGAGAGCCACACCAAGAAGCTTTGAGGCAGGGTCACGCATGGCGGCCTGAGCTAGAGCAGGCATAGCTGCTTTGGGTTGTCCTTTGGGCATCTGGGCAAGGCCTAGTAGTCCGCCATAGCCTCGGCCTATGAGAGTGATGAGTGGGCATGATGGCCATGGCTATGGTGGACCTCAAGTGATACCTGCAGTAGAAGAGGAACTCGGATATTGATTCTGGATCTGCCATTCAACATTGTATCATTATTTCTTTTATGAATAAGAGAAGGGGGAGATAAGGAGGAGGAGGTTGTTGGGTGAAGAAGAAGAGCCTTGTCATTTGTCTGTGCTGGTGTTCATCATCTTCTTCTTCTTTCTTTCTTCTTCTTCTTTTTCTAATCCTCTCTCTCCTCTCAAGTTCATTCATTTCTTTCTGCAATTGGACGACATTGTACTATCTGATGGATGTGTATCTCGAAATTGGCCAGGATCATAACAACACAACCACACAAACAATGGTTAGCTCCTACTGTACCATCTGCAGAAGCAATGCAATCCTCAGCACAGTCTTTACATGCCACGTGTCACCCCTGGCATTCCAACACAGCAGATAATCTGCCACATCAGCACATCAAGGACCTGGTAGGTCTACAAGGGGGGGATGCCACGTCAGCAGCACAGACCTGTCACACTCTTAACACTGGCAAACCATCTCAGCGAACATATCACATAAGCAATGTGCCTGATCAGCGGTACCAATCTCTCTCTCTGTACCAGCGCCACATCAGCACATTGCCAACGAAGCTCTCGCTGGTATCTTCAATCTTCAATGCAGCTATGTCATCATCTTCAAGGGACGGCTGCTCGCAGGTGCTCTATTACAATGTCTAGACTTGCAGTATGACCGCGCTCGTCAATAAACGCATTTCATATTGCACATGCGGCACCTCCCACTTACCTGGGTGCCGCGTCAGCACCTGACAATAGACAGCAGATCGAGATGAAGAGTTGCTCTGATACCAAATTGCAATGAACCCAGTCTGTTAGATACTCAGAAGTCGTCAATCAACAGTAGTTTCAATATCTGTCTGAAAGTCTCCAGATCGTGAAGTGATATCTCGAGCAGTATCTCATTATCCAAAAACAGAAGAGTGTGGAGGGAGAATAGACAAAGGAGAGGAAGAGAGCATACACAGAACCATTCAGATCCCTCTCCTTCTCCAGGCTTCTTTCCACACTACATCATCAATGATAATAAGAAAAATCATGATCACATACAATAGTGCCAAGTGGCACTTATCATGATCACATACAATAGTGCCAAGTGGCACTTTATCTCATGAAGACTTTGAAGACACAGCAGATTTCCCCTGACAACGTCAGCCACAGGTGAGTACCCGATTCCCTACATCCACAGATCCCGATCTTCCCCTTCCTCACAACCAGTCACCTCATGTAGACAGCGTGGACAATGCCAC